AAAAAAAAAAAAAAAAAAAAAAAAAAAAAATATATATATATATATATATATATATATATATATATATATATATATATTAAATAAAATAAAAATAAAAATAAAAAATCAACATACACGTAGCACACGTTTATACATGCTTACAAGTTTACATATTACAACACACCACGCTTGCAGCAAAAAAAAAAAAAAAAAAAAAAAAACAACAAAAAAAAAACAACACAAAAAAAAAGGTATAATGCGTCAAATGAAATATATATATGTTAACAAATTACGGATGTTACAATACGTATTTTTTTTTTTTAAAAGTATATGAAAAAAAAATACGCAAAAACAGGAATTTTTTTTTTTACGCTTCGCTCTTTATTTGTCTATTTGTTAAATTGTCCATTTGTTTAATTACCCATTTATTTATTTTCCCATTTGTTTAATTTCTCATTTGTTTAATTGTCTATTTGTGTGTGTGTGTTTTTTTTTTTTTTTTTTTTTTTTTTTTGCTTGCCAAAACTGAAACAACAAATTAATAGAAAGATATTAAATATATTATAAAGTAACAACGTGATAAGAATGTACGAACCTGGCGAAACTTCTAAGCGTTATATTTACACAGAAAATGACAAATACTATAATAATGTTATAGAATCAAAAGAGATGCACAGAAGTAGAAACGAAAGCAGAAGCCAATCATCTGACAATAATTCAAATACTTATACAAATGAAAATGTATTAGATTACACAAAATTATATGATTTATTTAAAAAAAAAAATAAAGTTACATATTATAACAAATCACCTATTCATCCATATCGCTATCCGATAACTACACATAAGATCGATTTTGAAGATTTAAAAAAAGAGTTGATAAAAGAAGAAAAGCGCAAAAATAAGCAAACTGATTATATAAATACGTTTAAAGATGGATCGAAATTTGAAAAAAAGCAAAAAAAAAAAAAAAAGGAAGCAAATATTTACAAAGGTGATATAAAAATTTATGTTCCTAATGGGTTACAAAATGGAGAAATATGTGAAAATGGAAAACCAAAAAAAAGCTTAAGACAAAGGATATATGACAATGAAGCTATATTTTATTCAGATTATATTGAACAAGAAGCAGCAAAAGATTATGAATGGTTATTTAAAAAGCCATATAAAATAAAAAGAAAAGATGAAGGGGGTAAATATTATTTTTATGGAAAAAAATTATTAATGAATGAAGAAGAAGATATATATAGGAAATATTATAATTTAGATGATGAATATTTTATAAAAAAATTACAATTAAAAAAAGAAATGGATAAAAAACAAAAAAAAGCTAATACAAATAATAAAATAAAAATAAAAGAACATATAAAATCACGAAATGAATATGAACAATTAAGTTATGATGAAAAAAAATATATACAATACGTAATAAATAAATATGAATATACAGACATAGATGTATACGATTTTTATAAAAAAAATAAAAATATAATAAAAAGTAATTTATCACAAACAAAAAAGGAAGAACTATTATTTGGTAAAATGCCTGATATTATTTTACCGAGAAAAGATAAAAAATTAAAAAGTTTACCTCATTCTTATGTCGAATTATATTATTTAAATACTTATGCTAATTTTATTGATAGTATGTTTAAATGTCCATATATATACACAGCTATTGATGCTGAATTAGGCAAGTATTGGAAAACAAATGATCAAGAATTAAACAAATATATAAAAACAGAAAAAGTAACAAAACCTAATAAAAAAGACATATTATATTCAGTAACAAAAGAGCAATTAGAAAAATCAAGCAATAAACTTAAAAATCTATTTAAAGAAGAAGAAAAAAAAAATGAAGATAAAAAAAATTTTAAAGTTACTTTAAAAGTAGATACAAAAAAAAACGAACCAGAAAATAAAGTTATATGTAATGGTAGATACATCATATGATGTACTTGTTTGATTAGTAGTGATATCCCAAGTTGTGTATTTTTGTTATTTTATTTTATTTTTTTTTCTCGCGTACGTATTAAACAAAAAACTGTATTTTATTATAGGCCTTATTTTTTTTTTCCAAGTTTCGCTATTAACATTTAGTCAGTTTTTTTTTTTTTTTTTTTTTTTTTTTTTTTTTCTTTTTTATTTATTTAATATGTGTTTTTTTCACGTATCTGTGTTTTCTCATGTGTTTAGGTTGATTATTTATTTTTATTTTTTCTGTTTATACAAAACCTGTTCCGTTAAAAGTACATTCTTTTAAATAAGCAATCTTTTTTTTTTTTTTTTTTTTTTTTTTTTTTTAAGCCCCAAACTACCATCTACAACATAGACACAATTGTACATAACTTATGTATATATATTAAGCACTGTGTTATTGCTCATCTCTTTGACCACTGTTTCATAGCTCTTGACTTCTTTCTTCCAGGCATTTTTGGAAATTTTTGTCTCATATCTTCGTATAAAATATCATGTTGTTTTAGTTTATCATAAATATATGGACAAGCATTTAGTAATGCTCGTCCGACTGCTAACCTTGCAGCTTTAGACTGTCCACTTACACCTCCGCCTTTTAATTTTATAAATACGTCATAAATACATTCTGTAGATGTTAAATAAAAAGGTTCTAATACATCCATTCTGTTATAAAAATAAGGCCATCGTATATATAAATCTTCTTGATTGTTAATTTTAACAATTCCATTACCTCTTTTAATAAAAACATATGCACATGATCTTTTATTTGTTCCTATACCTTCTGACTCTTCTAACCATTCCATATCGTTATGCACAAATGATTTAATTCTGTTTAAATTAAAATTTTTAATAATTAATTTATTAATAATGTTTTTATTATCTAATATAAGATTATTTTCATTTAATAAATCATTGTCTTTAGATAATTTTGTTTTTTCGTTTTTATTACAATCATTTATTGTTTTTGCATTTTTTAATTCTTCAATCTTTTTATCAATTTCTAATGTTTCATCCGTATCATTTTGTGTATTATTATTCATGTTATTGCATAAAAAGTTGTCAATTACAAATGGACTTGTATCGGCAGAAAATGGAGGAGATCTCATAATAATTGTTTGAACTTCTGTTGTTGTTTTAATTCCCATTTCTTTTGATAAATAAAGAGCCTCGTCCAATGATAAAATATAATCATTTTGAAGTGGCGTTTTTGTTTCTTTTTTTAAACTTGAAGTATGTATAAATTTGCAGATATTGTTTATGTTATTTTTTTGCCTACTCCATTTAAACAACGCTCTTGTCATGTTTACTTTATTCGCCATAGTGTTTAAAATTAGTTTCGTATATTATACGTATTTGTAGAAGTGTATATATTGTGTATGTATATATTGTATATATATATATATATATATTGTATATATTGTATATATATATATATGTGTGTGTATGTATTATTGGAGGGTCATTTTAGTCTTCGTTTTACCAAGATTCTTTTTAATTTATTATAATATTTTTACGCTTCATTATGCTTTGTGTTGTTAACAATTATTTAAATTCGTCATTTTTTTTATTTTTAAAAGTAAATTCCTGCTTTGTTTTTAAAAAGCTTTATTTCAGCTCGGGTTAATCCCTATTTATTTATACTAATTTGCATTAATTCGTATTTGTATTGTATCGTTTTTTTTTTTTTTTTTTTTTTTTTTTTTTTTTTTTTTTTTATTTATTTTATTTTTTTTTTTTTTTTTATTTTATTTTACTTGAAAATAACGTTATTGTTATACATATGATCTACATTTCGCCATGTATATCATTTCCTATTCTTAGCTTATTTTTATTATGCGTTTTAAACAATTATTTTGTTCATAGCGTTTTTATTGTGATTTGTTATAAAATCTTATATATATGCAGACTTTCTTTAAAAAGAAAAAAAAAAAAAAAAGTTATATATTTTTTTTTTTTTTATGCGTTAAAATACGTTATATTTTTATTATATATGATAAAATAATTGTGCATATATTTATAATTCACATATTGTTACATAGTACATATATGTATATATAATAATCACATAAAAATGATTTTTTTTTTTTTTTTTTTTTTTTTTTTTTTTTTTTTAAAAAAAAAAAAAAAAAAAAAAAAAAAAAATCATGAAGTATTGCAGAAAATGTACATTTTTGATTTTATAATTAAAAAGTGCTTTTTAAGTACAATTTTGGCATGGAAAAATATACATAATAAAAAATGAAGGTTAATTTAAGATCACCCTTCTCGGCCTCTTGGCTAAGATCAATTTGTAGTACCTGTTCTTATCAGCGTGATAGCTGATATGGTCTTAATTAAGACCTTATCAATTTTCACATTAATTTTTGTTTGGGGAAAGTAAAATAGAAGCTTGCTTCGTTTATCTTTCGCGCGTTGTCCTACTCTTGCACTATAAGTTTGTACGGCGCACCCTTTACTATTATAAATCAATTTTTTTCATACAGTTAAAAAAAAAAAAAAAAAAAAAAAATTACAACATATGGTATATATACATATATAATTCCATTTCAAATATATATAAATATAAATTTAATAAAAATTTGTTTATTAACAAAAAAAAAACAAAAAAAATTAAAAAATGTTACGTTAATGACGTTTTAAAGAAAGGAAGTGAAAATGTGAAATATATATATATATATATATATATATGTAACTTTTATATA